TATGGGATGTTGTCATTGTTGGTCACCATTCAAAAAACAAAAGAAAAACTTAAGGGCCCCAGCCATGAGGACGACCCGAAGTGAAGAGAGCGCAAAATTCCTCTCATTCCTCATAGTGTTTTCCAGATTCCTGAAACGACGACAAGGCCTTGGATGCGAGCGGAGGCCGCCACAATGGGGAAATGTCAAAAAAACTGTGCTGGAGCAACCAGAGCAGCAGTCCTCAAGTTACCCGACAGGCCTCTAAACACGAAGCATTAAGATGGATGAAATCTTTCACCTCAGGCTGTGTGTGGAAAAGCATTTCTGAGTGTGCTTGTGGGGTTTCATCCTCCTAAGAGTCCGGCCTTTTATCTGGTTTAGTTGTGAAAGAGTTAAACACTCACAGCAGGGAGTCAGATGGCTGCTTCATAAGTCACTGTCTCTGTTAAGGCTCTATTGTACAGCTGTCCACAGATTGTACTGCTGATATGAACTCAAGAGACGAACTTGAAGCCTCTTTTGCACTTTTCTAGTTATCAGAGTTTTTTAACAGCAATGGGACGGGAACCGATGCTCCAGCCAAAGCTATTGGGAAATGGCAGAAATGATTTCCAATTGGGAAAAATAAGGGCACAGACTTCAGACAAAACTAAAATCGGACATGGGTAGAGTAGATATGTGCGGTTGGGTTTTTTGTATTTGAAAGTATATTCCCTTAAAAAAAGAATTATACTTAGAGTTCATTTTAAGAAGTAAACATAAGTTGAAGTATTTTTTCCCAAGTATACATTATATAGTAAGTGTACTATTTTAATACTTCTTGGGACTGAATTGGCCAACTTGTTAGTTTATAAAGGTATACTTTTAAGTGTGCCTAAAATATAAGTACACAACTAGTTTACGTCAACAGTTTTCTTCTCTATTGCAACTATATAACTTTAATACAACTGAACTTACAGAAAGTCTGTTAGTTTACTAGCTATACTATATACTAGCTATACTCTATGCTAAACTGCCCACTTTTTACTACACAACGTCTAACCAAGTATACTTAAAATAAGCCGAGTATAGCTAAGTATAAATTTAGGTATATCTCTGATGAGCACATAAAAAGTAGACTGAAAGTATAGTCTCTTATTTTTAGTTTAAGCAAAAGTATGCTAAAACGTTTGCTGGGGTTTAGAGAAAAAATACAGTTTCAGTGGTGTGGGGAAATCAACTACAAAGTTGCATGTCATGTTTTTACTGTTGGAGTGTCAACAGCTGTAGTAAATCAAACTGAATCGCTCTTCGATTCAGTTTCAATTATGTCATTAATCTATTTATACATACATATTTTAATGACTTATTCGTGAGGGATTTTTGTTTTCCACACATTCACATGTGCTTACAGTACTTCTCCTTGAGTAAATGTGTACTCAACATGCTGTTAAAGACACACACACACACTTACCAAAGCACGGCTCACATTCTTCGTCACCAATGATATGACTCTCAAAACAACATAATTGCACCAATTGTTTCATTCTTGAGTTACCACGCTGAAGGAGCCTTGTGGAAACAGACAGCATAAGTATTTGGTAATGTCTGAGAAAATGAGCTTTGGGAGGCCTTGCTAGCACAGGAGAATCTTCTTCAGCATGAGAAACATAAATGCGACTCCTTAATGAAAAGCTAATGGGGTGTATGTGTGTGTTTAGAGCTGTTTATCACCTGTGCTGAACCACAAAGCAAAGCTGCATTCAGAAGGTAGTGGCATCTTTTTTTTTTACATGACTCTCACCAATGGATCCTTTGCAGTGAATGGGTGCCATCAGAATGAGAGTTAAATAAAAACATCACAATAATCCCCAAGCAATCAACATGACTCCAGTCTATCAATTTGTAAAGTGTCCTTTAGGAATTCGTTCCCACGACTTAATTAGTTCCCTGTATTCGTTAATTTAACTAAATAAAAACAAATGAGTACAGTGTGGCCACTAATTAATAAATTAAAATTCATAATTCATTGCCACAATCTATTTTGACTTAAGTGATTTCAATGATTCTGTGTCATTATCACAGTTGGTGTGGACTTCTTTAATCTCACAGAATCAGAATGATTATTAAACCTTTATAGTTAGAATTATCGTGATAGTTATCGTGGTGTGAATGGCCCTTAACACTCTCAAACTTTCTGTTGAACTGAATATCAGTGGTTACCTGCAGCTTCATGCTTAT